GGGGAAATGCTCCACAATACATATTGGGTGATCAGACATTACAGCAAATGTGCTATGATTCCCGTTGCGCAATTGTAATTCCTGAAGAAACCGAAGTTCAAAAGATCTCGGTTCTTCACACATTTTGTCGGGGTTCTGTCGGGGTTCTGTGCAACGTCATGTGAACACACGGAAAAATAATACGTATTAGGTTGGAATTTCGTTTGGATTCTGTCTGGTTTGGGCCCCGTGTGATAAGGTCCTAGGAAGAACCTCCTGATAGCAAGAGCTGTTTGATAGTGGAACATGTTGCCTTAGAATGTGGGGGAGTCTCCTTCTTTCGAGGTCTTGAAACAGAGGCTGGGTGGTCATCTGTTGGGGGTGTTTTGATTGTAGTGGGTTGGACTGGATGACCCTTGTAGTCTCTTCCAGCTCAATGATTCTATAATTCTACAATTCTAGGAGAAAGTACTTTACTCAGTGGGAAGTCACACTGATGATGGGGGGTGGGGTTTGAACTGAGGTAAAGTGATTGCTCCACTTAGCAGCTAGCAGTTCATGTTCCACACAATGTAGAACACGTTTCCCCATATTACTATTTCTTTTCCTCCCCATGATGATGCAAGGAGCAAGAAACCTCACTCTATTGGAAGATCCACAATGTAGCTCAGATCTCCTGACACAACATCTCCTCACACACTCAAATTGCATTGATTCCCAAGCATGGATGCTGCTTGCCTACACTGGTCTTGTGCTCATCTGTTCCTTCACTGGATTGGATGTGACCTTTAAGCCTTTTCATTCTGAATGTGCACCTGGGTTGGTTTGGATTGTGTGTCCCTGGCTACTGTCTCCAGTATCTTCTATAGTGTATGTGTAAGAGAGTAAGAGAGTGTACACAGTACAAAATAAACAAACAGCAATTAACCCTGCAGTGACATACATTGTTAGCCCCCCATCAAGGGCTCAGCTGGGTTTTGCATCATGGCATCTCATTAGCAACCTGTCACCATTTGCTCTTGTTAGCCAGTGCAATTCTGGTAGGATTGTTTGGAGGAATATGCTTGTTAAGCCCATGGCCAGCAATCAAGGACAGAGGCTGATATTGCTAATGTACCCTCTTGTGCAGTGTGGCAGAGGTACCCTTTCATCCAGGAGCTGCTTTCTGAATTACTGGTAAAATCAGTGTCTTCAATTCCTTTCTAGGAACCAGTAGCCCATTCTCAGGGGTCAGCTGGTGTGAATCTCTTGTGCTTGGGTAGGGAACTTGTAGTTCTTCAGATGTATGAAATGAAAATGAAAATCCATTGCCTATATCTGCTAGAGTTGTTATTTCAGCAACATATGAAAGGCCAAATAGTTGCCCACTCCTGACTTACTTCGTTGTTCCTGTGCTGGAAGTGAAGAGTTAGAACAGAAAATAATTGTTAAGATTGTCTAGTTGCCAGGGATCTCAGGTGTGGTTCAAAGCTGCCTATTGGGATTAGCTCTGTCTGGAGAAACAAAGCCTAGGGCCCTTTGACACTGCACAATTATAACGCTATGGAGTTTATCACATGGAGAACATTAGAAGTTTAAATGGGTAAGAATTAGTGATTATCCAGCGTGTTAGGTGCAAATGAATGAATGATTTTCACATGACGTTGTGCACAAACTGCATAAAATTCGACAAGAAAGTGACATGAACCAGTAAATAGGCATTTTGAGGAAAATATCATGAATTCATTTCCGTTTCATTCATGAATTTGCTTTTTTGTGCAATTGCTGTAGTATGAAAGCTACTTGTGGTTTATTCACAGGATCCTCCCTTTTTTGTGTTTGTTGCCAGATTTCCCATGGTTTTTTGGGGCAAGTGGTGCAGGGCAATATGGGGCAATACCATAATACTGCTTATAAAGCTCCTAATATAAGTAACCACCGTCCTTCGTAGCTGGTGGTTACGAAGGTCTTAAAACAAACAAACAGCTGATGCAAGGGCAGAGAGAGAGAGAGAGAGAAGAGTGAATGAATGCTTGCCTGCTAACATAGCTAAGGCTTCTGGGAGCTAAAGTCCAAAATCCCTTAAAGTTCCCAAAAGAAAAAAAGAGTGGGTTTTGGCAACTTTCCATTCGGATTAATGTTGTGTTATTTCTCCTTGACGCCAACATTGTGTGAAAAACAATCCGCTTTTGCAGGTTATTTCTACTTTCTGTTTGGGTTAACCCCAAACATTGTGTGAAAAGTTTTGGCAACTTTCCATTCGGATTAATGTTCACTTTAATGTTTCACTTTGGATTAAAGTTTCACTTTAAATTCAGTTTCTGCATGGGATCCATCCCATATGATAAACTCCTCAGTTGGTTTACATTGTACTGAAACATTGTTTTGCTGAACATTTAAGCAGCCCTATTGATTGGGATGCCTCTGGGACAGATGCTTTATTTTATTTATTTATATGAGCATTTATGGGCTGCCTTTCCACTCATAGACTTTCAATACTTTCTGAAAGCTTTTTTTTAAAGCAAGTAACAACATTGTAAAATATAATTGTACACTATGAACCCCAAAATGTGGAATAAGCTACAAACCTGTACCTGTGTTTTGCATGCATTTTTCAGTTTTTTTTTTGCAATGAAACCCCTGTTTTTTGCAAGACAATTAACAAAGCTTTATAAAACACTAACATATAGTCTGAGAAGAGGTCCAGCAGCAAACCATCTTGTAAAGCCATATTTCTTTCTGCATCGAATAGGCAGTACAGCATGAAATGCACATAACAGAGCAGCAATGGGCATCCCTCCCCCACCTACCCAGATCAAATTTCAGAGTTTCTAAAGTTGGCCAAATTATTCTGGCACATGAAGTGGAAAATTCCACAGAGCTTCTCCCTTGTTGCAGCATTTAAAATACAGTTAGAATAAATTCAAGACATTTGCTGCCCTTTAATGTCACCCCAAAACCACCCACACTGCTTTATTGTCAGGTTCACGCTCTGCCTACAAGGACTCCTTAAGGGAGCAGCACTTGGAAATGTTACTCCCAAGCAATTGTCATCAGCCAAGATCCCATGGAACATCTGCTGGGCAAGCTCCAAATCCCCTTCTGCTACACAGAGATCTTCCCCTTCCTTATTCCCCACCCAGCAGCCGAAAAATCCTAGAGAGTGAAGTTTGCACTCATTTGCCTGGCTGACAAAGAGAAAGGCATGTGCAGTTCCAGCCTGGGGGCCCCTCTGTCTAGACCAACAGCTGCTTCCCACCAGTTCATCTCAGGACAAGCACGTGGTGCTGAAGAGCTGCGAGCCTGCTGTGTGCAGCCGCCAGACTCGTGCTCTCAGAGTGAGTGTGTATTTGTGCTGGAATAGAGGAGCCGTCTCACTGGGATGACATTCCCTGCATAGAAGAGACAGGAAACAGGGAGGAGAAGAGCCTCCTGCATAGCAACCTGGAGAGAAAAAACTCTTGTCTCCTACCACCATTTCCTTTAATCTTACTTTTGATTTTTGTCTTGCCAGGTACAGAGATATTCTCTCTCTCTCTCTCCCCCTGGTGTTGGTGTTCTCTGTCACCAGTTAGTCCTGTGTGCCAATTGGGGCCAGATTTTTAAAAATTCTTTTGCCATTTACTCCCTCTTTGAGCATAACTAGAAGACAGGGTTGGATCGTAAGAATTGCCCAGATGTCTTTCTCTTTTTGGCACAGGTAGTCCAGAGGTATCATCCTAGAGATGGGCAATTTGTCACATTTTTCTGGTATTTTCTAGCTAGAACTTCACAGTAAGAAGTTTCAAGTACCTGCAACAGTGTGCTGTTCGATAGTAATGATGCAAACAAGGTCATATTTTAAAAGCAGTGTAAGGAATGGGAATGAATTGGATGGGGATGAATTGAATGGTGGCACAGTGGTTAAATGCTTGTACTACAGGCACTCACTCACACACCAGGGGCTCAGGCTCGACTCAGCCTTGCATCCTTCTGAGGTCGCTAAAATGAGTACCCAGCATGTTGGGGGCAATTAGCTTACACCACTTAGAGACTGCACAACATGGTATGAAGCGGTATATAAATGAAGCTGCTATTGCTATTTATTGATCTAAAAAGACCCAGTGTGGCATAGCAGTTTGTGTATTGGACTAGGATTTTGAGGGACAAGGGTTTGAATATCCACTCAGCTAAAGGAGCCTTCTGAATGACCTTGGGCAAGTCATATTCTCTCTGCCTCAAAGAAGAGCAAAGGTTTACCCCCTCTGAGCAAATTCTGCCAAGAAAATAGCAGTAGCAGCTTCATTTATATACTGCTTCATTCTGCACTAACCCCGTTTCTAAGCGGTTTACAACTGTAAGCTTAGTACTCATTTTAGCGACCTCGGAAGGATGCAAGCCTGAGTCGAGACTGAGCCCTGGGTGGTATTGAACTCACAACCTTATGGTTAGTGAGTGAGTGGCTGCAGTACCAGCACTGAACCATTGTGCCACCAGGGCTCTTACTTAAGAAAAGTCCATGATAGGATTGCCTCAGGATTGTCATAAGTCAGAAATGATTTGAAGGCACACAATAGTAACAAAAAGGAATAAAGGAAACCTGTGTAGACTAACTGGGTAAAATAAATTTATAGTGTAAGCTTTCCTGGATTACAGTCTACTACATCAGATTTGATGGAATGAACTGTAGTGCATGGAAGCTTATGAAAAGTTACACTGGAAATTTCTTACAAATGTCTCAGTAGTGCTACTGGATTCCTGTATTACTTTCTATGCTAAAACAGACTAACAAGGCTAATTTTTTGAATACTACTGATGTTATGAATAATATTTTCCTATTTACTTTTGAAATTACTTTCATTTCAAAAGCATTTTAGAGCATTTTTGAAATCATTTTTCTAAGAAGCGGAGGATTGAGGCCAAGGCTGCCAGATGCCTTGGCCCCAATCCTCCCTTTTGCTGCCTTGGAAAGGAGCAGCAAAATGCCACTCCTTTGAGAGCTGGCAAAAATGGTGCACTAAGAGCTGGCATGCAGCTCTTTAGTGCCCCTTCCAGCGTAGCATGTCAAAAGGCTGTGCCGGACCGATGTCCTGATGCTGCGTGCCGTGAATAACAGTGCGAGGCATCAGGACATCTTCAGGGAGGGGTTGAGACAACTGGTATGTGGCAGCCCCTTCCCATCCCTACCTCCAGGGTGGCCCAAAGGGCCCATCTGTAGAGGCCCTTAGTCCAGCACTCAAATTATTACACTGTGCAATCCTAAGTAAGAGATGCCTAGCTGTAGCAATGAGGTGAATCTCTTGTGCCAGCTGAACTGTCCTTCTGCTGGTATATCTCCCTTCTGTTGGCTAATCTCAGATTTCAACTGGCAGAGGAATGAGTTGATACACCTGTACTGAGGAGATATCACACATATGAAAAGACCCAGCTTACCTCTTCTGAATTAGAGTTGAAGCTGGGTATTATTGAATGGATTTTCCAGCTTAATTCAGCTTCTGAGTACATCCCCATTCCAATGTGGATCCAAAAATGCTCTGGCAGCCATTTTTTAAAGTCAGAAGTTTCTCTATTTAAAAACCTCCAAAGAAGGAGACTCCACCACTCTCAGAGCGAGTGTCTTCCACTGTCGTACGGCCCTTACTGTCAGGAAGTGCCTCCTAATGCTGAGGCGGAATCTTTTTTCCTGTAGCTTGCATCCATTGTTCCAGGTCCTGTTATCTGGAGCAGCAGAAAACAAGCTTGCTCCCTCCTCAATATGACACTCTTTCAAATACTTAATATGACCCCCTTTCAAATACTTAAACATATCACCAGTACCATTCAATAATTTCTTGCTTTATTCATTTGAGATTGGTTTGGATTCAGTATAGCTTCAGCTGGCACAGTATCAGCTCAGGTGGCCCTTAGTCATCTTGGACAGTTAGGATTGAAGTCTTACTTTGCATCCAACCCCACATTATTGTTATTGTTATCCATTGCTTGGCCCCCAATTCCTGCCGTCCATATCCACAGATTCTTTATCCAAAGATTCAACCTATATAAATTCCAAATAGCAATTCTTGAGGCCATTTTATATAAAGGACAGCATTTCACTATGCCATTGTTTTTTTAATGGAACTTGAACATCCACTGATTTTTGTATCTTGGGGTGGTGAGGGTGATCCTGTAACCAAACTCCAGCAGATACCAAGGGCTCACTGTATAATCTATCTTCTGTTTGTTCAGAAAAACAAAAAAATGTTTGCCAGGGAACCATAAGCTCTACTGCTCCAAATATTCTTGATTATTTTGCTTAGTTTCTGTCACTTTGATGGTATTCCTCTTTTACTCTTGCAATTTAAGTGGAATCACTTCTTTGCAAGATTGCTTACATTTCAATTAATGACTGACAAGTTGTATTTCAGCTGGCTGAAGATGTTTTGTCAAAGCTTAATGTACACATATGCAGCAGAAGTAAGGACCAGCAAGTTCAATATAGCCTATTCCTTAATAACCATGCGTAGGATTGCAGCCATGCCTTGTAAACTTAACTGAGTATTTTTCTTAGTGATTGGTTCATTGGTCGGCTTGCTTATTTTGGATGCCTATGCTTTATTATGAATTTTTAAACCACAGCATTATATCTAAGAGAAAAGCAGAAAATATCTGTGTATGCCTGGACATGTGACAAAATATGGTTGTAATTTGCTTTGGGGCGTGAGGCTGTAGGGCCTGTCTTGGTGAACTTCTGCAATTAGAGTTACCACTACATCATTAGTAAGCAGGCAATAAACAAAGTCATCATCTATAAGTGAAAGGCCATTAAATTTGTTCCAGAGGGCTAAGAAGAAGGGGGCACCATGAAAATTCCTTGGGTAGTGAGTGACAAAGTATAAGTGTGGGAAAGGAAAAGTCCTTCTCTCTTATTCCAGCTAAAAAGTAGGGGTGGGGAGGCATTGTTGCTTTCACATTCTCCTTGTAGATTTCCCACAGGCATCTGGCTGAACAGAATGTTAAAGTACATTTGACTTCAATTGGATCTAGCATGCCTCTTCTTATGTTGTACAAAGTATAGCTGGAGCTTTCTAGGTCTGTACCTACATTCCCCCTCCCCAATAGTTCATGGGGTGTCTTTAAACATTTTTTTCACCCCAGGTATCTTACCAGTAGTACTGTCCAGAAACATGCTTTTTCATTCCTTTTCCAACCCAGGAAATATTAGGGCCAGTACCTTAGCTTTCTCCTGTTTCCCCATCTTTGTTTCCTGCCTCCTGCTTTCTACTTGAATTGTATCTGGTGCTGCCTAGGTCTATTCCTTATACCCCAAAATGGGTCTAGGACCCCTCTTTTCTTGCTTTCCCCCACTCAGGAATGTTACCAGTAGTACCACTGAAAAGCACCTTCTGTCTTCTCAATCTTTTTAAAATTTTAGGAATTTTAGCAATGCCATGATCCTCTCTTGTTTTCTTGTCCCCTAGTCCAGTAATCATAGCAGCAGTGCCTTCATACAGCCCTACATGTCTTCTGTACCCTTTCAAAATGGTTTGATGATTATTTAAGGCAGCCCCTCTTTTGGTTCTAGGAAGCTCTCCATTTGGAATTTTGATCTGAAACTTGGCACTGCAACTTGAGTAACAATCAAAACCACTCTGAGATTTTGAATCATCTAGTGTGATGTCCTAATGTGTCATGCTTACAAGGGACAAACAGGCAGACTTTCTTTTTAATTATTGCACATGTTCCCAATATGGGCTTGAAACTGATGACTGATCTGAGTGAGGGTGGATCAGAGGCAGCACCAGAAAAGATAGCAGGGAGATAGTTGTAGATACACAGGGCAAGACAGGCAAGGCTGAAAAGGTGCAGTTAAAAAGCACATTTTTGTGATACTGTAGTTTGTTGTTGGGTGGATGGGGGATAACTCCAGCTCTGTGTTGCCTAAATACCCTAAAGACACCAGATTCTTTCTGATCTTGTAAGCTAAGCAGGTTCAGGTATGATTAGTACTTGGATGGGAGACTGGCAACCAATACCAGGTGCTATAATCTATATTTCAGAGGAAGGAACTGGCAAAACCACCTCTGAGTATTCCTTACCTAAGAAGACCCTATGAAATTCATAGAGTCACCATAATTCAAGAACCAACTTGAAGGCACAAGCATACAAAGCATGGTATGGAATGCAAATCTCAATTTTCAGTGTCTCTAAAACAAAAACATGAACAAGGCACTGTTAACAAATGATTTAAGTAGATATTAGCTGAGATCATAGCAAGGCTGCATAGTATAAATCTTTGCATGCAGAGTTAAACATTAATTTTGCTGTGCACAACCCTTGAGTTGAATCAACATTATACAACTGAAACAATACCAACAAAATGCACAACCCAGTTTACATACATGCACTATTCATAATGCACAATGTGCATCTGTGTGCATTCCACATCCACTTGTACTACAGGCACAACTCTACTTCCCACAATTCTGAACTAAATGGAGACTTTGGAGTTGCATGCAATCTGATTTTGAGCATTATCTACTGAAGGAAATTACCTGTGTTTGGTGACTGTGTTTACAGACATGGTAGACATGTTTTTGTTTTTTGTTTTTTTTTTTTTAAAAAAAAGCATATACAATACTTAGTGCAAAACACTTTCCGATCCCACTTAGAGAACCACATCCTTGGTTATAGCTTCACAACAGAAAGTCTTACTGAAGCTTGCACTCCAGGGAGGTGGTAGCATGCTTTGCCATTGAAATTCCTTGCTTTATGTTGCTTTATTTAATCTGATCTCCTTTTTTGATAAAATTACCAGCTTGGTAGACAAAGGGAATGCTGTACATGTAGCATGTCTTGATTTCAGTGAGGCCTTTAACAAGGTCCCCCATGATATTCTTGCAGTCAAGCTGGTAAAATGTGGGCTAGACAATGTGACTGTTAGGTGGATTTGTAATAGGGGGAAATTCTAGAACAGTTCATTAAATAGAGAGTCTGTGAACATTTAATAGGGAATACCATAATCACTAAAAGTCAACATGGGTTTCTCAAAAACAAATCATGCCAAACTAATCTGATCTCTTTTTTTGATAAAATTACCAACTTGCTAGATGATGGGAATGCAGTAGACACAGCATATCTTGATTTCAGTAAGGCTTTTGACAAGGTCCCCCACAATATTCTTGCAAATAAGATAGTAAAATGTGGACTAGACAATACAAATGTAAGGTGGATTAGTAACTGGTTGACTTACCGAACCCAAAGGGTGCTCAGCAATGTCTCCTCTTCATCCTGGAGAGAAGTGACCAGTGGGGTGCAACAGGGTTCTGTCCTGGGCCCAGTGCTATTCAACATCTTTATCAATGACTTGGATGAAGGAATAAAAGGCATGCTTATCAAACTTGCAGATGACACCAAATTAGGAGAAGTAGCTAATAAACCAGAGGATAGGATCAAAATTCAAGAAGACCTTAACAGATTAGAAAGCTGGGCCCAAACTAACAAAATTAATTTCAACACAGAGA